CGAAAAAAATTCCCAAAAAATGAGTAAAAAAAAATGGGTTAAAATTTGGGTACTTTTTCCCTGGTTTGGGTACCTTGCAATTGAGTTAAAAAAAATCGCCCTTGTCAGATCTTGGGCACATAAGTGGACAACATTCGGGCCAAATATAAAGTCGATAGCTTCAAAACTACGGCCTGGAGGTTCCCGGGCGGAAGAATCTCGAGTTGAAGTATAGTCTAAACTGTAGTGGACGAACTGAGGGACGGGAACAGCAGTTTCTAGTGTTGTCAAACTGTGCATTATGACTGTAGGACGTACTGCACATCCTGAGTACCCATAAGAGACAGTCTTACTGCAGATGCTATACAAGCAGCACATAGACTTCTATCTCAGGAATGCGACTATAGTTCCGACAACAGTTGAGGTGCAGTGGATTTGCAATCGACAGGCACCCTGCCCCTTATAGTCACCGACTATGACGCGCTCCGCAATCTCAACTCACTCGCATTTGCAGCTGCCGACTGCTCTGATCTTTGTAACTGTACACATCATCTACAGCTCGTTACAAATGCAGTTGGAAACTGCTGCGCCCGTTGCGATTGTACAAATCAGCTGCAAGAGTACTTTCCACTCGTTGGCAACTACAGCTGGGAACTGTTTCGTGCTGCTGCCGCAGATCCCATTTCGCAATGCAATGCACATTCCCGAAGCGACGCTTGGCGCCTGCAGCGCGCTGGGTAGGCAGACCCGCCAAACAGCTGCGAGAAGCAGGCGGCCCGCCCGCCCAGGCTGATCGCGGTAGGGAACGCCTGGGCGCTTCTCCCGTAGGTGCGTGCAATCCCTGCAACGGCGGGGCCAGCTTACTGCCCACTGTAAAGTTGAGCCTTTTCTGTGAGAGTGTAAGATCTCGATGTAGGGACGCTGTGAGGTCGTCTGCAACTGAGGCCTCGGGTGGAAAATCAACGCGCCCTACCTGAATTCCCTCCCAGCCCCCTTCCCCTTCGCCTCTCCTAATCTCGCAGCCCAACTCCAAGTCATCCACAGGTTTTCTCGGTTTTCTCACTGGCGTTTGTCATCAGCCAACGGTCGCGACAAGACCGACCTCGCATTATTAGATAGGTGCGTCACTGCCTTTCGGAGTCCAGATCCCCCAAAAGGTGCGTCTTTGACTGCTGACACTATTTTTTGTGGCTATATTATGAAAATGCAAAGAGGAAACGTTATAACCTAACCTAAAACTACGCACTTTATGCGGCACGCAAAAGAGTTTGTAGTTATTTTTAGGAGTTGTCACTTAATCGGATATTGAGCAACACATGTCTGATTGAGAAACGTTTACTCTTACGCTCACGCTTTACCCACTTCATTTCGTTTTATAATTCGCAAAATCATCCCGCCGCTTGCTTGGTAGTTCTGTGATGGAGCAGAGAAAAGCTCCCAATATGCTCATGCAAGTGCCTAATACTTTTTCTTGTTATTGTCTTCCAGGTATTACTCTAGCTAGCAGCCAGGCTCAAGATGGTCGTGTACATGAGTTTCTTCTCACCCCTGGAGCCAGAAGCTCCAAATCTGTGGCAAAAGTCAGCACGCAGTAAAGAAGTTTTGATAGTGGAGATCCCATCCTTTACAACGGGGAGGAATATGTATCATTTTAGGATCAGGAGGTTAGTTTGGTATCCTCTCCAAGCATATCTTCATTAAAATTTACCCTGCATTTTAACCGGTACATTGCTTAATCTTTCAGTGACCCGTAAACCAGCATACGAGAGGACAGCATACTACAACAAAGTCTATGAATACCATAAGGAAGAAGCGGGATGGCTGTTTAACACCCAAAACCTGGACGAGGAACATGGTAAGTTTACTTTTGCACACAATACCACAAGCCCATGTTTATAATGTTTTGATGAGATTAATAAGACTATCATTGTACAATTCTATTTGTCAAGCAGGCCCTGGCGCGTCATCATCCCGGCATACCTTGTATGAGCCTCCAAGCAAACTTTGTTTGTAATACAGGTTAAAGTTTGTATTAATTGTAGTATACTTTTATGTATTGTTGTATTTCAAATAGAAAGTTTCACTGATACTCTATACACGATGACAGCTGTGCTTGTTGTGACTGTTTACGGAAGTCACATTAACCAGGCGAAAATGTAAATAAATTTCAAAGACTATGATATTCATATCGTATTTAATTGACCCAAAGTGAACACGGTAACAAGATAAAGTAAGCTTAAATATTTCACTGAATGCATCAAATCACATCATCTTAACATTTCCATTTTTAAAACATTAATACAAGCAACTCTTAAAGATTCACCTGTTGTTGACTCTATGCTAAAAAACATCAGCTTTGAATCAATTTCAGACACTGGGAAACACCTTTTAATGCCTTCTGCTCTTTCCTTTAAAACCTTTATATGAGGCAGAGGGATGTCACACAATTTTTTTTGGCGATTGATTTCAATAATGTGCCCCAAAACAAAACATTTGTTTTTAAAAACAAGAAAAGAATTAATCACAAATACTTCATCTGAAGTGAGGAGCACTACACTGTTATTTTGTTTTGTTACCCTAGAATAGTTAGATGACTGGTAAATTTCATTGTAAATCTGGCAACGGTCAAAAGACAAGAATTGGGAATTCTCTTCACACTCAATCCCTGCTCTCCTGACCGCTGTGAATGACTCAAGAGGTAGAGTGCTAGACTTTGGCGTACCCAATAAAGCAGCATCTCCAATAACCAGGTAGGGAGAACCAAGTTGTCGTCCAGACGACACAGATTTATAATATTCTAGCTGTGGATCTGTCATTGATTCTCTCACATCCTCTTCGAGCCTTTTCACTGCAATTTTTCTTTGCATTGCCTTACAAATTTGCTGGCTAGCACCATTACTGCTCTTCACAGCTTGTTTAATTTCAGCATTAAAACTTTCAAATATAAAAGCAGAATGGGCCCATGGTGGGCCAAAATCAGACACACTGGCTCCTAGATGACTTAAGAGATGTGCACTAACAGTAACATGGTGCTTACCGTATAGATGATCTATGTCTCTTAGAAATAATGACAAATAACGACTTGCATATACCACATCACTTTTTGCAACAGAATTTTGCATGAGGAGAGCAATTCCATGTACTAAGAGACTCCAATGATTTAAAAATCTAGCTGGTAATATCCCCTTCAAAACTGGGATACTATAATCCACTACCCAGTGAAACCATTCGTGTCCACGGTAGTCAGATCTGTACTTTAAAGATCTAGGGTTCCTGGAGACATCTGAGGTAGGCGTAATTTGAAGGAGTCTTGAATTTACCTCAGCAAATTTAGTAGAGACACTGTACGCTTTTTTACTCCACTTTTCTAAGAACCACAGATGTGCAAAGCGTTTGGCTACATTAACCAATGCATGGAATAAATCCAAGTCTAAACCCCGTGCCATATCAAAGCCCTCAATTTGAGACAAAACTGAAACGCCTTGAATGCCATTCACAGGATCACGAGAATTCTCTGCAGCTCTTGCCATTTCCATCAGTTCGTTGTGAGTCCTCATGGGAAACTCCCTCTCAAATGTAGAATAAGATCGGACATGTCCTTTTTTGTATTTCATCCTAAACCCAGGGTGAAGGCAGAGACCACAACCATACCTCCCTGTGTGAACAGATAATTAGTCAGTGAACATGCAATTGCAATAAGGAAAGAGCATTGTATGTTAAAAATTAGTCACCATTGAATTGAATAGAGTTCCGAAGGAGTGGTCTTGCTATTGTATCAGCTATCCCCATTAAGACCTTCACTTTATAGTGAAACATGACACCATTCTTTTCAAAAGATATTCCACTCTCCTGTAGGCGCACACATTCCTCTACAAATGGCTTCAGGTACTCTTGGCAGTCTGGTTTCTTCAGGCTCAGCCATAAACTGACAAGAAGAATGTGTTTTCGACGAAGTGGCAATGGCAATTCATTTAAACAGACTAGAACAGGCCATGCAGAGTTCTTGCTTGTCGATGCAACCTGAAACAGATTTGTTTTTAAAAGTTACTTAAAATTTGACTTGGCACTTGTGATATTTAATGTAATTTGCACTTGGTCTACAAACCTGGAGGCCATCCACAAAAAAATTGATTGTTAGTGTGTCCGGTAATATATGGCTGTACTTTTTTCCATCAAAAATATCTTCATAATTATAATCATTGATTTTAGTACGTTGTTGAGGTTTCAAAATCTCCATGGAATGATGTCTAAGAAGTGCTTCTAGTTGTTCTTTCAACGACATGTACAGGAATATATTACCTTCCTTTTTATTTTCTGAGGTATTGACTATCTTCTCACAAGATGCACATTCAAACGTATTGCAGATAACTCTTCCAATGTACTTCCCACAAGGACAAACATGGTGCTCAGTGAGAGCACACGAGTACTCTTCAATAGCTCTTTTAAGAAGGTATTTTGGTGGAACAAACATATCATGCTCTGACAAGACACCAGTGAGATGCATAATATCTTCAGCTGCAGGGTATGTCAGATTGTGCCGCTTCATAGTGGCCAATAACAACAATATGTGAATTCTCTGCTTTACAGACAAGAACAGGCCAGATGCTACAGCTGAAGTCTCTTCAAAGTTTGGATCAGATTCAGGGTCAGGCGTTGTTGTTTCTAAATCACTGACCTCTGGCTGGCCTTCCTCTACCACTGTGTCATCCAATCTCAGTACAAATGAATCCTGAACATGAAATATAACAAATAAGTTGCATGAAATAAAATTCCAGAAATCTGTTGACAATGAAACTACTCGATTGTATTACCTCACTATTTGTATCATCCTCAACTCCATCCTCGACTCCATCCTCGACTCCATCCTCATCATCAACAATGAAAAACCCGTCGTCCTCATGAAGCTAAGAACATTAAAAAATTAGCAGACATGCCTCACGATATTGTTAAGAGTGCAAAGCAAAGAAGCTTACGACCAAAGAACGAAAAGCTATAGTTGACATACTGGATTCTATGTCAAGCTTCCCCTTGCTTACCTCGACGTCAAGGATATCCAGAGCAAAATCTCTTTCTGGTGATGAATGTTGGTCTGGGAAGGGACCTGTATCATCAGAAGAAAGATGTTCTGGTGATTGTACTGGTGAATGAATACAGTTAGTTTGCTCTCCTGGAAAAGGACCATCACTATCCAAAACGGATTGGGTTGCTTGCGGTACTAGGGTTGGAGTGGAACTTGAGCTTTGTGAAACAATCATTGGTGCAGGAACTTCGCATGGGGTCGGCAGTCCTGAATGAGAACTCAAGGCAAGCTGGCTCCATGGTCGTCTGCAAGAACAGAGAGTTTACAATTATAAACAGCGGTATGGTTGAAATGAGAGTACCCAAGGGCCAATAAGTCATGGAAAGGCGTGTCATAGAAAATGAAAATCATCGTCAATTCAGTTCCCTCCATAGGTTATGGTTCAGTGTTTTCTCTGCAACGATCAATAAGTCATTACAGGTTTGACATAAAGTAGAACAAACATGAAGTAGAAACAAAAAACCATACAATACGGACGATGTCAGGGGCTATACTTACGACAGATTCAATTTTTTCTTAGCTAAAGGCCTGATAGTCGATCTTATGGTTCGGGAGTGTTTAGTGCTCCTGGGCATATGCCTGTCAGAACTAAGAGTCCATTGTAAATACGGTCCTCTCGGTCTTCGCGAAAGAGGCGTTTTATTTTGCTGCATTACTTTTGATTTTTGACTCAAATCTCAGAGTATCTCACCCGTACGTACTGTACTTATTGTTTATTTACGATTGCTTTCCGTCTGTCGTCTGCCGCCGGGGCAGACTTCGCTTTGTTCTTCTTACTTTTTGGCTGTGGAGACGTCCTACCGCGCTTCCAGCGGCCAGGTCTTTGTAACTCACAGCATGGAAAAATTTAGGACAATAAAATGTTGCACCTAAATTATAGTTTTGAATTCGAATGAGGTTGAAATGTCTTTTTTGTCTATGTTAAAATTACAATTGTGGTATAAAAATATCATAAAAGAAATAAAAACGGTTGATCTACAGTTAGACATACTCTTGACTCCAGTAGTATGAGAATATAAAAGGGACATCCTTGCGCTCTTGTCGGTTATTTGACAACCAGACAGCTGTTCTCGTCGTCAAGTCGTGTTTTCGTCGTCCCGTCTTTCGTGTGTTCATTTGTGTCACGCCGTCTCGTCTTTCGTCAGTTCTGTGTCATGTCGTCTTGTATTCGTACGTTAATTTGTGTGTCACGTCGTCTCGTCAGTCAGTCCTGCTGTCAGTTTACGTCGTCCCGTGTCTGAGTTCGCGTCATGGCTAAGACAAATAGTAAAGGTGCTGGTCAGTCCTCAAGCTGCAGCAACAATGTTGTGCAGCATATCCAGCTGTATGCCCTAGTTGAGTGGGTAGGGGGGGCATTTGTGGGCACGTACACCCACAACATTCGTGTGGAATGGATCAGAAACTTCAATTCGACGGGCCCATTCGACCCCTTGGGGTACGGGGTCGAGTGGCGTGTGCCCCCTATGCTCAGGCTTGGATGGCATGTCTACGACGCCAAGGTGCTGGAAGTATCGGGTGAGTACCTCAGTTAGGTCGGCTGAGACATTTTTCAGATATCTCAATCATCGGCCGAACGAAATCGCCTTTAGTTTTTGACCGGGTTGTTGTCGAATGAATGGCAGAGAGCACGATCATAGCTCGGTCAGTCGGTCGCTCGCTCTCCACGCTTTGTACTGATTCGTCTTATTCTTTGCGTCTGGTTACAGATGACTTGGACTACCTGAAAAGGAAGGAGGTTCTGGCAACTGAATCCCGCAGTGCGACTCGCCGCCAGTCACCGACGACCGTCAACAACAACATTGCTGCTGCTGTTGTTGCTGCTGCTGGTGGTGGTGGTAACGCGGCTGATCGTGGTGTTCTGCTTCATCTGCTCTTGGGGTTGTTGGGGGCCCCCCCGCAGCAGCCCCTCCTGCCGGCTGCTGAGCAGGAGTCGTTCGTCGTAGTACGTTTTTTTTTTACTCGTTCTTTATCTGCCTACTTCTTCGCCTTTTTGCTGTTAGGAAGAACGAGTTTTGTTCTTAGTGCGTTCACATGATTTCCAAAGTTCATTGGCTTGTAATGTGCTAATACAATTATTTACTTTACAGCAGGTCAAAATAGGAAAGTCACTGGTCGTGCCAAAATCTTGTGCAATCCAGGCTAAAGCTGCCAAAACCCCTTCGGCCATGACCATGTATCTTGTTAAA